CTAATAGATAGGGGTCGTGCCTATCATGAAGCCAAGTTATTGAAAAATGTGTTTTGGCACACAGATACATTGCCAAGCAAACTGGAACATAATAAAAATCTATTGAGATTAGTGATTATAATTAAAAAACGAGCTACAAATCGCGTAAATGTTTTATTAAGTGAGAAAACAATGTTGCATTTTCCAACAACAGAAATACATCCAGCAAGAAATGTCCATTCAACACTGAGACGCTTCATGGTTGAAATTTTTGGTGCTGAATTACCGCAACACAGACCTCATGGATTAATATCTGTGGAGCACAATCCATTTGATTCAAAAAATGATGGCTTTTGTATGACACTTTTGGTGACATTCAGATCTCCTTTGGAAGAAGTTCCAATAATAGGAAAATGTATATGGCATGAAGTATCAAAAGAACTTGGAGATAAATTATTAAAACGAGTATCATCTAAAAACGCATCAGTGTTATTACATGTTATTCGCTAGTGTTTGTCTTCGGCATAAAGAGTTCATTGCTATTACTTTACTTGTACATATAATGAAATAAGCAAGATGAACCAATGAACTAAATGGTAGTGGTAGCTTGATAAGAAAACTAATAATAAATAATATTGTATAAATATTATATATATACCTATTAATCCACTATAGTATTTATAACATTAAATAATTGAAAAATTGACACATAATTGTGAGAAAACTTATGCAGATTTTATATAATATATTTTATACAAATTATTAAGTAGGTATTCTACTATAAATCATGATCATAATCATATGCCTGGCTATTGATAATAGCTTGATTTACAATTAGATAATGTATTTAATGTACATATTTATTAGAAAATTATTTTATATTAAATTATTTATATATATTTTTATAAATGGTATATTTTGATAATAAAGTTATATTAAATCAAACATGAAATGAACTATTGCATATATTTTGTTCTTGTATGTATTGACTGAATGAATGGTTGATAAGCAAATGTCTTCATGTATTCTGTGACAGAGCTGTAGACTTTTGTTGCGTAATTTATTTATCTTAGTGGTATCATTTAAAAATAAAATTAGGTTAGTGATGTTTTTACGTAAGTATATATTAATAAATTATACCATCATAAATTAATTTTAATTTATTTAAAATAATGTCGATCACCATAACCACACTTTTCATGCTAATACCTATGTTTCTGTCAAATAAAAAGGGATATTGAGGTTCAGTAATAGTGATACAAGCTTTGTCTGTGATTTAATTAGTTATTCAAAAGTGAAATAACATTAGTGTCGGCTTCAAATTTTATTTTAAATGTTACGTCCCTAAATGTCAAAAGTCACATTGGAATAGAATTAAATAGCCATAGGCTAGTTAAAATTAAATGAGTATATCTCAATCTTTTCATTGCCACGAGTTTGCAACCAGAGTTTCTCAATCATTTTTAAAGAAGAGCATAATATTAAACGGTACAAAACGCTTTTAAATACTGAATAAAGCAAAATAATTTATTTATTTGGACCAGAAAATAATAAATCTTGTTCATGGTTGATTTGGAGATAGTCATTATTTTCATTGACGCGATAAACACAATAACGTTTAAACAAATATTTATTGAGACCTCAAGTAGCTGTTATATAAAACTTAGATAAATATGAAATAATAGTATTTTAATAATCGTTTTTTATCCGCAGGGTTCTGATTCCAAATATCATATAAAATATAAGTTTATCTATTTCAATGAATAATACTTTTAAAAATCAGAGTCGTATCCTATAGATAAATTAATTTTCAGTTCTGGTTTATGAATAGAATTGAAAAACATTACTGAAGTGAATTACAAAAAAATGTTTATATAAATATGAATTGGAATTTGAATTAAAATCCTTGAATATTTATACTTTATACTTTGATATAACTAAGTATATATAGTACATATATATATAATATAATATATATATATATATATATATAAGAGTGGTCCTAATAGGGATGTTTGAATTCCTATAAGGGGTTCAAATGCTCCAAATTGATAAAAAATTCAATAGTCTTTTTTATTTTTAGCTCTTTTTTATATTTCTTTAGAAAGTCCGCACTCCAACTAAAGTTTTTTTTATAGTATTATTATATTAAAGACCACCCTAATATATATATATATAATATATATATATATTATATATATATTAATATGTGTGTGTTGTATTGTAATGAATTAGTTACAATATTGCAATATAGTTAATCCATAGATTCAATGTACAAAATACTGCCCAAAATAGGCCATTCACTGGTTTCATTTTTTTTGCTTACGTATTTTCTATTTCATCCAGGACTGCATCTCGAAATTTTTCTGGTGGTTTTTGCTACCTTTTATGAAAATCCATATACAAAGCACCATGCCCCATAAAAAAATGTTATCAGTTTCTCTTGCTCGTTTCTCTCAAGACTTGTTCATATTGATTTTCATTCTATAGTCTTTCCAATTTGACGATTCCAGTTATATTTTGTAATTCTGTTTCGATTTAATAATAATACCATGAAATCATGGTAACTACTAACTATATACTTCTTCCAATTGAGAAATCTTCAGCACTTTCGATTATCTTTTTCAGCAATCTCCACCATCCTCTACTTAAGGTGGTATTCTAGTGTAGAAATTCGAAAAATCATTTTTATTTATTTCATATTTTCAAAGTTTAATTATCTAAGAGTATGGGTACGAGAAAGTTTTTTGATAATTTGAATTATTTTCGGAGATATAGGCATTTTACTGACTCAAACTCCATACTGGTTGGCTTTACGCAAAAATTTAAATGCGTTTTCTCAGAACAGACTTTTTCAGTACTGTTGACACGATTTCTCGAGTTTAATCGACCGATTCACGTGAAAAGTTCAGAGAGTCTGTTTATAAACCTATCTATAGCCAGAACTAGGATTATCCCCAAACTCAAAAAATTCGAGAAACTCAAAAAAACAGTAAAAAAAACACTTTTTTTTCAAACAGTCGCCAATTTGTAAAAAAAATTTATTTACTCATCGGTAGTTCGGGCGATTGCGACATCATTGTATATTACATTTTTTTAAATTTTTTGAATTTTCGATAGCTAGGAGGGCTGAAATTATGTGAAGACTGAGGTGCCAATTTTTTGAGACCACCCACTTAATCAGCTGCCAGTTTTCCAATTTTTAACTTTTTTATTTTTTAATTTTTATTTTGTATTTTATTAATATTAATAAACAAGTGGTAAAAAATGGATAGTAAAATTGCTTTCTTTTACGACACTTTAAAAATGACCTAAAATTCATCGCTCTACACTAGAAGATCCCCTTAAATAAATTTGAACATTTAGTTATAATCACTCTCCATATTCAGTTCTACTATTCCTCAATTAGATCTCAAGTTCAGTTTTGATATAATAAAGTAATGTTTATGTTTGAATTTGATTTTAGATATAATGAATGAAAAATGTCTCGAGTGGTACGAATTTTGAGAGCTGGTCGTATGAGCTATGCCAAATCTTTACGTCTTCAACGTCTTGTAGCTGCATCCCACGTTGGAACTTGATCTTAACAGAACATCCTCCGGTTTATACTATTGGCATAAGAACAAATGCTTATCCAGAATATGAAGAAAGAAGATTAAAGGCATTAGGCGCGGATTATCACAGGACGAACAGAGGCGGACTAGTCACATTTCACGGCCCTGGCCAATTAATAGCATATCCAATCATAGATCTGAAGTTAGTAAATAAATAAATATTGCCCTGGGGCAGGTCCGTGTGCTGGACTCCAGCACAATGGCGGATCCAGTTCTTGCGCTAGAGTGGGGGTCACAATTAAATTATGTATAAAACATATATTCGCAATACGATTACAAAATCCTTAGATTTTAAGAGACTTTGACTCTAAGTTACATATTGAATTTATAGAATATGTTTGGTAACAAAATACATAAAATAATCGTTATGAAGTGATTTTATTGCTGAATTAGTGTTCTATCTAAATCTTAAGACAAGCTCAGGGGGGGGGGGCATGACCCCCGTAACCCATACCCTGGATCCGCCACTGCTCCAACACTACTAGTATTAATATAAATATATGACTGAATGCTTGATAATTGATAATTTCAAATCTTGCGCTAGTTAATGATAAATTAAAGAATTAACAAACAAAATATTCTGTTAATATTTTAGAAATTTGTCCCAAGTGTACGATGGTATGTTCAAAGTTTGGAGGAAGTAGTAATCAAAATGTGTTTGATATATGGAGTCAAAGCCGAACGATGCAAAGATACAGGAGTCTGGTGTGGAAATGATAAAATTTGTGCAATTGGCGTACATGCCAGTCGGTAAGTTGTAATTAAATTTGTCAAATATGTTCAAAAAGTTATTTTTATTATGTTATATTGGGGTAACCAATATCTATTATTATTTGTTTATGAATTTATGAATTATGCTTTCAGTTACAAAACATCTCATGGACTGGCCCTTAATTGTGATTCCGATTTAAATTGGTTTTCACACATAGTTCCTTGCGGTTTGCCTGGAAAGGGCGTCACATCCCTAACTAGGCAACTAGATCATCCTATCACTGTTGATGAGGTGACACCAACATTTTTGAAATGTTTTGCACAGGTAATAATAAATACATTGATTTAAATTATAAAATTTAATGCTCTACTTTAAATAAATAATGTTACAATTGATAGATAGTGTAATATTATACTATTATTTATTATTTATTAGGTGTTTGTATGCGAATTGAAAGAAATGGATCCAGAAGAAGTGCATAGCTTATTGAGAGCTTCTGACGAGGATATAATAAGTAATGAAAAAATAAGAAATGTAGAACCTTGATTATTTATATTTTCATTTGAGATGGATACTCTTTACATATTAAAATGCATTTATTTGTAATATAGTTACTTACTGACATTATGAATATATATTGTCAGGTATGAGAATGAAAAAATAATTTGATAGTATTCATATTACTCATTTTTTACATGTATGTGAAATGTCTCAGTGATTTAATAAGAATTATTTAAAATATATTGATTGTTGATCTGAAAATCTTGTTATCATTTAGAAGATGTTTATAATGCTTTGTTATGTTTTTTTAAATTATTGGTACGTCATATTAAGAACTTCATAAGGATTTTGATCTTATGAATGTCCGATCAGCATCAGACGTCT